AGTTTAACGCGTTTAAACGCATTGGAAACTAACGCGTTTAGCAGGATGTTTTTTGTCACATTTAGGGCGTTCAAACGCGTTAAATTATAACGCGCTCTAACGCGTTGATTATCGACCCTGTGAAACGTGTTGATCAGTAACGCGTTTGAACGTCCGGAATGTGACAAAAAACATCCTGGTAAACGCGTTAGTTTCTATGAAAACTTAAACGAACTCTAACGCGTTTTTTTTCGCAGAAAAAGTTTGCCTGGGTATATTGCTGCCATTCTCCTAAAAATTTGTCATGTTATGTATTCTAAGAGATAATCTATCTGCATGACTTTTTTATGCAACAATTATCGATATTCTAACTAAAACGATGCTAATTATGTAGTGAAGCAGAAACAGGACGAAAATGCCGAAATCAGTGCTCAACGGCATACGAAAGATTGGCTCAAACTACAGAAAAAGGTAGCTAAACGTTCTTGAAAGAATTACCTGAGAAGAATTGATCAAACTTTTAAAACAAACAACTTATTAATCTTTCATATAATTCTTTTATTTAGTTGATGAGAAGAAATTCTAATGATTCAGATGAATATCAAGAAATAGAACAGCCAACAGTACCGCTACAACCATTAATTGATGTTCAAATCGACACCAGAGAAAGATTTTTTATCGGAAAGGATTATTCAAATAGTTATCATAAAGATTTCGAATTTCTGGAAAAATATAACGAAGGTACATTATTCTTATTTGGTATGGCAGATATTTAGACATAACTGTTTATGCTAGATTATATTGAACGTGAAAAATGTCCTCGTATGCCTTGGCATGATGAAGCTCTGGTAGTGCTAGGTGAAGTAGCACGAGATGCGGCAAGACATTTTATCCAACGATGGAATATTCATAAGGTATCTCTATATCGCCGTTAGCGTCGAAAAAAGAATGAGTCTTATCATTTGTGTTTTTTACTAGCGTGAATTATGTATGAACGATAATTCAATACCATTTTTATTACCAAAAACGTATGACGATAAGCGAGAATTAAACGACATTAACTGGAAATCTTTTCTCGATTTAACGCCTATTCCGGTCAACGCACAGGTAATTAACAATAGTTAAACTTTTTCCAAGTAATTAATGTAAGTACAACATCCGATCTGTGAACGGCTTATTACTCCAATTGAAAAATCTTACAGCACTATTTTCGACGGGAAATTCTCTGAATCACAAAGAAACGACTGTTTTTGATGCTGTAATCATCAAAAACACTTTTGAGTAGACAAAAGTTGTGTCTTCTCGATTCGCCCCTAATTGCTCTCTCTCAATTAGTTCCACAAATTTTTTTCTCAGTTAGTTCCACTCTTTTTAGTCTTAATTCGTACCAATTTTCTTCTCTCTCAATTAGTCTCATTTTTTAAGTACTTATTCTGCATAAGTTCACTTTGAGTTCTTCGAAATAACAAAAGTTTTGTCCATGTTGATTCGAATAAAATAACTAAAAATATGTACGGAAACGTGTCTAACACAGACAGTAGAAATTTACATTTGATCAAAAGTTGTCGTGTGAGTGTTAAGTTTACAATGTTAAGTTTCACAGAAACCGAAAAAACCCATTGCCAACTTTTCTACGTGACCTGTCTCACCAAAACGAGAAAATAAAAAAACGCGTTTTCTTTCGTTCTGTCATACTAAAAAACGGGTTGAAACGCGTTTTTTGAGAGAAGTCACGTAGAAAATTTGGCAATGGGAAGTAAACCTGCGCTGAATTTAAATGGTTGTCAGTTTACAGAAAAACAAAGTAATAGGAAGATGAATCAGTGGAGAGATCGCAATTGTACAAGTGTCATTTCGTTATGTTCACAAGATGTCATCATAAAAGATGAAACACAACCGTAATGTACATAAGACAAAAGTAAGATCATATTTGGTACAGCAAAAATCTACAATGAAACTGATGAAAAATTGAAAGTTGACTTGACACTTATGAAAAATGGGAGTTAACAAATCTACAATTACCTATAAAATGCGGAAGCCCCGTAAAAATTCATATGGAATAACGACAATGTATTAATAATATTTTTTGTTTCCATTTCTGGAAGTTAAGACAAACATAGGAGAACTTATGCAGAATAAGTATTTAAGAAATGGGACGAATTGAGATTAAAAAGAGTGGGATGGACCGAGAAAAAATTTTGTAGGACGAATTGTGAGAGAGCAATTAGGGACAAATCGAGAGTAAACCTCGCTGATGCTATATGTCCGTGATAAAGCATCGAAAATTATGACTTTTAGTGAAAGCCGCAGATGTTTAGCTATTGCGCATGATGAGATATCTTTTATTTTACTGTCGCAGGAAAATAGCGCTAACCAGAGATATTAAACGCTTTTTACTTGGAATCTAGTGGGTTATAGGTTTTCGACCATGCTGATTACGAATACGACCATGGGATTTCTCCATAGCCCTTCGAAGACCTGGTTTTCTAGAGAACCAGTTTTTCAAAAACTCTAAAATATAATCCGAACCTTTCTTAATGAGGCATGATTGTAGCCCGCACATTTCT